ATGGTGAAAGAGACCATAAGTCAAGTTCAAGGAGACAGTGATAGCAGCTAGGGCTTGGAGGATACCTGAGTCCTCAGTGGGTGCAGCCTCAGCAGGGAGTTGAAGATTGAAATCTCCCTTGAAACCCCCACAGCCACTGAATAGAAATCCAAGAATTGCAGAGTTGTGTGCCTCCTTTCCTAGGAGGTTAGTGGGAAGGCCCTGCCTTCAATGGGCCTGAATGGCCAGGCAGCTGGATGAAACATGGGTAAATGAGCCAGAGAGATGCTTTGTATCCAGTCTGCTGGTGTGAAGGGTGGGTCAGCTGGAGGTTCCAGTCTTTATGGTGAAATGAGGGGTGCATATGAGAGGACCAGCTGGCCGGAAAGGGCAAGAAGGAGAATTCCAAAAGGTGAGGATCCTGGGCTGGACACCACAGAGGATACTATGGTGCTATCATTTAAATCTGGATATCCTCCAAAAGCTCTTGTGTTAGAGGCTTGGCCCTCAGCTTGGTGCTTCGGGAGGTGGTAGAAACACTAAGAGGTGGGGCCTAATGGGAGGTTTTCAAGTGTTGGAGGTGTTTTAAGTACTGGATTGTGAGACCTGAGTCTCTTCTCTTTTGCTTCCCAGCCATGAGGAAAGCAGCTTTATTCTACCACACACTCCCTGCTATGATGTGCAGCCTTATAACAAGCCCCAAAGCAATGGCCCCAACAGAGCATGGATTGGAACCTCCGAAACTATAAGCCAAAATGAACCTTTACAAGATGGTTACCTTAGGTATTTGTTACAGTGATGGAAAGCTGAAAACCCACATGGGAAGTACCATAGATTTCACATGACAAAGACCAGAGGGGCAAACATCCTTAGGAAGGAAAGTGTTAATGTGTGTAGAATAAAAATAAACAATAACAATTTAATTTTTTTTCTGTTTTTGCAGTACATCAAACCCAGGGCCTCTACATGTTAAGCATATATATGTTCTACCACTGTTAAGCACATGCTCGCATTCCCAGTCTATTTCTTTAATATTTCTTAGGCACCTACTATAAGTGAGGCACTATCTTATCAATACTAAGCTGATAATTGGGCTAGTACCACATTTCTTATTCTTTTCCCCCCTTTAGTCTTTAAAATATTTAATAAGAAAAGATATAAATGTTAAAACAATTAAGAGAAAAAAAAACCAGAATTTGGGTGCAGTGGCACACACCTGTAATCCCTACTACTCAGGAGGTTGAAGCAGGAGGATTGCAAGTCATGAGCCTAAGGCCAACCTGGGAAAATTAGTGAGATCCCCATCTAAAAAGAGAGAAAGAATCAATTGCTAAGGAAGGGTGGTCTAGCCCAAAGTTCAAGGGTACAGTCCTTGACCTCAGGCTGCCTAAATTCAAGTGCAGGTTTTGGAGTTCACTAGCTGAGAGCCTTCTCCATCTCAGGTCTGTGACATCAGGCTGATGAGAGCTCTCCCCAGGGCTGTAGGGAAGAAATGAGACAAGGCCTGTAGGGAAGAAATGAGACAAGGCCTGTAGGGAAGAAATGAGACAAGGCCTGTAGGGAAGAAATGAGACAAGGCCTGTAAAGTATAGCACCTGTTATACAATTAGAACTTTTTCCTTCTTAAGTTCTCCTGGGCTGCTCTGCAGTGGCTTCACATATATCCTCCCTCCTTGTCTTCCCACCTGGAGCCTCTCTAATTGCTTTCTCCTCCCCATCTGTTCTCTGCTGGGACCTAGGCGCCAGGAGTCACTGGAGTAATTTACATCCTTCAGAGCTGTCAAAACTTATTATAGGCTTAGTGTACTGCCATCCGCTAGCAGCTGCCTTTCAGAAGAGACATTTGGGAACTCCAAAGACTGATTTTCTGGTGGTGGCAGTTTGGGCACAAGGGGGAAGCACCCTCCAACCCCACTGATCTACTTACTCAGGCCAACCATGATGGTTCCAAAAACATGTCCACAAAGTTTTTTATATTCCTGCCAAACCTGGAGTCTAATTCCCTTCCCCTCCCGTTGCATATGATTTGGGTTTAGTGGCTTGCCTCCAGTGAATTGTTGAAATGATGCCATGTGATGGCCAGGTCCAGGTAGTTTACACTTAGTTCTAGTTCCACCCCCCTACCCACTGCCATGTGGGAAAACTACATTGGGATAGAGATACCTGGGGAACCTAGAGCTTCCCATGGGCAGTGAGCAAACTTTACCAATTCCAATCCCCAGCCTTAAAGGTGTCCTAATAAACACTGAAAGAATAAAAATGTACTTGTCTCCAACTACCCTACCCAGACTGCACTCAAGAATAAAGTCAACAGAACCATTTTAAGCCTCTAAGCCACCGCACCCCCTTTAAGACACCTGCATAAGAATAGCTCCAAAGAAAGGTAGAAAAGAAAGTGAGAAAAATCTATGCATCACTGTTTGTATGTGAGGGGGAAAAAAAAAAGGAGAGGATTCCCATGGCCCAGCTAGGAGGTGAAGAGTTTATCCAATAATCTAGTCTGCCAGGGAGCAATGCCAGGGCTAGGACTATTTTCAGCCCCAAGTATGCATTCAGGGTGTCTGATGCTTGGGGGTAGAGTGGGTGGAGTCTGCAGGCTGGTGATCATTTGCAAGCATTAATAGAGCACCTGGTGGAATTCCAAAGGACACAAGGGCTCTCCCCTATCTTCTATTTTAAGTCATTACATTTTAAGATAGTGTGTTCAGTCAAGAATTAGAATACCAACTCCATAAGGGCTGGCCTCGTGGGTGTGCAACTTGTGTAGTCACATAGGGCCTTGCTGGGTTGGGCTGGGTCCTTGTACTTAGTCTAATGCTGTGCTGTCACTGTCTTGAAATTCTCAATCATTTTTGCACCAAGACTTGCAAGTTAGATACCTGGTTCTGAGCCCCACCCACATGAATCACTAACTCTCTCCTCCTCTCAGTCCTATGCATCCCTTACATATGTAACTATCTAATATGTGTAGAGGACAGAGAATAGCTTCAGAACTAGCCGGACTCATTTTCAGCTCCCAGTTCCACTACTGACTGATTATCCTGTGACCTTGGATCAGTTAATTATCCTCACCAAACTTAAGTTACATTGTCTGCTTACTGGAGATAATATTTACCACACAAAGTTGTAGCAACTACTAAGTGGATAGTAAATTTCTTCGTGCACACACTAATATAGTGTTCTTTTACTGCTGTCTCTGCCTCTAGTGTATTCTTCATACACACCCATATCAGATAAATCTTCATTTGCTAACAATGTCCTTCTCCAAACTCTTCAGTGGCTCCTATTTCTATTACAATCCAGAGTCCTTACCTGAGCATTCAAGGCCTTCTATAGATATCAAGTTATCTTTGATTCATCTTTCAGTGTTCTATTACCCTAACACTCTGCTTCAAAAAAAGTCTCCTAAAAAACTTTTCACTTCACTTTCCAAGGCTTGGGTCCAAACTGTTCCATCATCAATCTGAAATATCCTGGACCCTTCTGACAACTTCGGCATACATTGTAGTTCACTTCAAAAACTTAAATAACTGCATGTGAACTTTTAGAGTAATATTGTTTGTGTGTGTGGTTGTTTTAAAATTGTGTGTGTGTGTGTGTGTGTGTGTGTGGTGTTGCAGGGCAAACGGGGTGTCATTCATTCTAGGCAAGTGCTGTATCACTGAGCTACATTCCCAGCTCTAATGTTATATTCACTTAAGTAATGCTTCCAGCTGTGACATTTTTAGTACAAGTAATCCACCTCCATTGTTCAAAGAAAGTCAGGTTAATGCCTCATGTAATGTGTAATGAGGTTGGTATAATGTAATTTGTTCCTATTTACACATTTTAAAGCATTTACAAAAGCTTTTGTAAGCAACAGAAATAAAGGAGTCCTTGAACCACTGTTTGTCAAATAAAAATGTTCCTAAGCATTTCCTATAATTATCATGTTCATGAACATAATTAGCCTAATAAACACATAAAGCCACCATAACTGTTACTTAATAGGATATAATTCAGTAAAGTTATTCACATACACACACACACACACACACACTCACATTGACCCTCCTGCCTCAGATTTTTTCAAGCTTTTGCACCAGTGCATGGGAGGAGAGCTCAGCCTTGAGGTTAGACCTCTTATTAAATCCTACCTCTGACACTGCTATGTGATCTAGGCAGGCTGCTCAACCTGAGTCCTGGGATCTTCGGTTTTAAAATGAGGCTCATATAATCTCACCAGGGTTTGGGGAGGATGCAATGAGATAATGTAGGCTAAGTGACTGGCAGCAAGCAGGTGCTCCTTAAGTATTTCAGATACTCTAGGACATGACAGGGCTCTAGGTTATCTTGTGTAACTTCCCATTCAGTGCCAACATTTTTTTCCACAGTATCCCCATCAAAAGGCCATTCAATCTCTGCCCAAATAGTCCCAGGACAGGAACCTAGCATCTCACAGGGCGTCCATTCCATTTCTAGCTAAGTCCGACTGTTAGGAAGTTAACTGAACTGAATCCTCTGATTTATCCATCCAATGCCACTGGGCCTCCCAACATCCCCACCCTTACTTGTAAGAAAGGAGAGAGTGGTCTACAGTCAAAGGTGCAGCACACCTGAGCTGGTCTGGGCCCAGCCACTTCCAGCTAGAAGACAACCCTGGGCCCTTCCCAAACCTCCACCTCGCCATCTGTCAGATGAGGTGAATCTCCAGCCAGCTGCCCTCAGCCGCCAGCTGCCAGGGCTGTTGGAGCAACACCTCGCATACGCGAGGGAAAAGCGCTGGGGGCGGGCGGGGGGGATTCTGGGACCCATCATCAAACCAAGGGGCCTCAGGGGGCGCTTTTCAGACCCTTCCTCTACCTGCTCTCAAGGATGACCTCTTCCCAGCGGTGCCAAGAGGCGAGGGCCAGCTCCAGTTGGGTCCAAGCCGCAGGGATGCAGAGGAACTGGCTCTTAAGATCCCGACCAGAGGCAGGAGGCCGCCTGGCCCTGGCACCCGGTACCCGCCCACAGCCCGCCCGGGGCGGGGTCGGACCCACCTGCTGCGGAGGCGCTGAGCCGGGCTGGGGCTCCGGCTTCGGCTTCGTGCGAGCTCCAGGCTGCCGCGCCGCGGGTGCCTTGCCACCAGCCGCCTGCCCTCCCCCGGGCGGCTCCACGTGGCCGCTCCACGTCGCCCGCCCGCCTGGTTGCAGCCGCCGCCCAGGGCCGGGCAGAGTCCGGAGCTGCGCCAGCCGCCGCCCCGCCCGCCTCCCCTGCCCCCGCGGACCACGGAGCCCTGCGATCCCGCGGGAGGAAGGGGCGGGGTACCGGTGTCACTGAGACCAACAGACTGGTGAGGCTGGTGTGTGTGATAGACACACACACACACACACACACACACACACACCTAGAGAGGCAGACAGAGGGCAAGGCTGGTACTATGAGAGGGTTTAACTGTGGTCATGCCATGGGTGCAAGTGGCTCTGCTTGGGAGATGCAGATGTATGTGACAAAATAGAATGGAATAATTTACTCTTTTCATGTGTGATTGTGGCTGGTGTATGCAGCCATGGGTAAGAGGAACTTGACACAGTGGGGATATTTTGTGTCTGTGTCCAGTGTGGGCATGGGCTTGAGAGAGTATGGCCAATGTATGCTTGATCGTCTAGGTGTGTGATAGTATGGGATTCAAGCACTATATGTATCAAGGTATATCTGGGTGAACTCTTCCGGAATTGTTAGTGATGTTCAAATGACACTGAGCTGCGACTGCTGTTTCCAGTGAAGGTGTCACTGTGTAACTGAGGAATGGCTCAGTCGCATGAGGGGAGGGTCAGGTGGAGTTGTCAGGAGAAACTATCACCACAAGGGCCATGGTGGCAGCATTGCAATTGTGTGGCTGTAGCTTTGTGATCAAAATGAGGTTGTCACCTGCTTTTGTCCTAGTGGCCAGTCCCTCTACCTAGGTTCTGCACTGCATCCTCACCCACTGACTCAAAGACTTAGTTCTTTAAATGACCTCATGTCTTGATCTTCAGCTTCCCCCTCTCCAGCAGACCTTCCATCAGCAGTCATGACAGCAGCAAGCCATTCTCACCTGTTATCCTTCCTATGGGGAGTCTTGATGGCCACTGCCTCCTTGGTTCACAATATCCACTCCTCCCTCCCTCCCTCCCTCCCTCTCTGGGCATTTCACACCCCATCTGTTCAGTGTTTATGGCTAACATAACTTCCATCATCTCTGTTATGGGTTCAGTTGTGTCCTCCAAAAATTTATATGTTGAAATCCAAACTCCTAGTACCTCAAAATGTGCCTTAATTGGGAATAGGGTCCTTGCTGATGTAATTAATTAAGATGAGGTCAGTGGGTGTGGTGGCACACACCTATAATTCTACAACTTGGGAGGCTGAGGAAGGAGGATCACAAGTTTGAGATCAACCTGGCAACTTAGGGAGACCCTGTCTCAATATAAAACAAAAAGGGTTGAGGGTGTAGGTCAGAGGCAGAGCACAGTTTAACCCATTGCCTTGAGCATGCTCAAGGCAATGGGTTAAACTGCCCTACCAAACAATGGGAATGGGGCTTCAGAGTTCCCCTTCTGCAGTTCTTGCTGCACCCCTGCCCCCCGCCTTTATTGGTATCGGAGATTGAATTCAGGGGCACTTAACCACTGAGCCACATCCCCAGCCCCTTCTGTCTTTTCTGTACTGTGAGGTCAAGTAGGTGGCACTCTCTCTATATATATATTTTTTAATATTTATTTTTTTAGGTGCAGATGGACACAACACAATGCATTTATTTATTTATTTATTTTTGCCTTTATTTTTTTTATGTGGTGCTGAGGATCAAAACCGGATCCCGCCCATGCTAGGAGAGCACTCTACCACTGAGCCACAATCCCAGCCCCTTTATGTGGTGCTGAGGATTGAACCCAGGGCCTCACATGCTAGGCAAGCACTCTACCACTGAGCCACAACCCCAGCCCCAGGCACTATATTTGAAGAACAGACCATCACCAGACAGTGAACACGTTGGCACTTTGATCTTGGATTTTTCAGCCTCCAGAATTGTGAGAAATAAATTTCTGTTGCTTATAAATTTCCCCAGTTTGTGGTATTTTGTTATAGCAGCCCATAGAGACTAAGACAAACCTACGTGAAAAGGGAGATAGAGATGCAGGTAATGCTTCTACAAGCCAAGGAACACTAAGGATTGTGGGCAAACCACCAGAAGCTAGGGGAAAGGCATGCATGGAACAGATCCTCACAGCCTTCAGGAGGATCAACTGTGTTGACATCTTGATCTTGACTTCTAGCATCCAGAAGTGTTAAGACAGTAGTTTCTGTTGTTTACAATACTTTGTTCTAGCAACCCTGTAAATTAATGCATCATCTAAATGCTAATGACTAGCAAATCTCTAATTTCCATTTGTAAGTAAGAACCTACTAATTTGAGAGGTCAGTGCCATTGAAAGAAAATTTAATGTTATTCACAGTTACCCTAGAGATGAGAGGCAAGGCAAGCCATGCTTGGCTGCAAGGAGAAGCACCAGTGCTTCAGGAGGCAGGCAGAAGCAAGAAGGCAAAGGCCTCAGCCTTTATTGGGGTCTTCTTCGTGGGAAAGGCAAGGAAGAGTAGGGGGATGTTTAGGATTAGCTAGTTTGAATAGTTCTGGAGAGCTTCAGAATGTTGGGGTTATCCCTAGTTGTGTGGCACCAGGTCCTGGGGTGATTTAGGGTAAGGGAAATATTGGTTTGGAGTGTGAGAGTTAAATAAAGGAAGTGGCTCAGAGTATGGGCTCTGGATCACAGGGGAAATGTAACAACCCTGGCCACTAGTTAGACCCTGAGATTAGTTGATGCCAAATAGAAAAATACAGAATCTAAGAAAACACGGAACAACTACCAGCACCTCAACTCTACATGTCTGAGTCTGAATGCATCCTTTTTCTCCTCAAACCTTTCCCTCTCATGGCTTCCCCATCCCAGGGCAAACATCCCTGCCTCTGTGTAGTTGCAAACCTGGGAGGGTCATCCATATTTCTCCTTCTGCCCCATCTCCAACTACTAGCACATCCTATCTTGAAGATTTATTTTTATGCTTTTTTTTTTAATGGTACTGGGGATTGAACTGAAGAGCACTTTACCACTGAGATACATCCTCAGCCCCTTTTAAAAATTTTTATTTTGAGACAGATTCTCACTAAGTTGCTTAGGACCTTGCTAAGTTGCTGAGGCTGGGGAACTTGTGATCCTCCTGCCTCAGCCTTCTGAGTTGCTGGGATTTACAGGTGTGTGCCCCTGCACCTGTCTATCTTGAAGATTTTCACTCCTCTCTCTAGCTGTCCTCAAGTCTGGGCAGCCATCTTCTGTTACTGGAGTGTGGGTAACAGCCTCCCCATTGGCCTCTCTGTTTCTGTTTTTTTCTGCTTGTTTTCCTTCTTCCCCAACCCGAGTAGCCTAAGGGATTCTTTAAAAACATAAGTCTGATCTCATCAATCAACCCTTTTTAAACTCCTTTGATGGCTTTCCTCTGCCTTTAAGATAAACTCTAACTTCTTTCTGCAGCTGCTAACCACCTGGTCCTTGGCCACCCTTGTGCTCAGCTACACCAAATATCTTTTGGCTCCCTTAAGAAGTCTCTCACTTATCCCGGAGCTAGCACTCCCACCTCCCACTTGCCTGGGTAACTCCTATTCATTTTTTTGTCCCCTTCCCAATGAAACTTGGGCACCCTCCTCAGTGCCACTATGGCAGCAAGTACTTCCTTTTTCTAGCATCACTCCCTATAGTAGAGGTTCAACCCTGAGGACATATTCGAATCGTTTATATACATTGATACCTGAGATGTTCTTCAGATCAACTCTATTAGAGGTGGGATATGGGCACTGACAGTTTGTACAACTCCCAAGTGATTCTCATCTGCAATCAAGGTAGAAAACCATAGCTCTTCTATGTTGCTTATTACTCTATCCCAATGAAGACAGGATCAGAATCCTTGGGATATCTATATCCAGTGCCTGGTACAGAGTGAATGATGAGTAAAGTATCTTTTGTATGACTACTATTGGCAGGGATTGTATGAGACAACAGAGTGACACTGCAGGAATGACATTAACCTGGGATTTGGATTGCCACCACTGAGCATCAAAATCCGGAGCGCGTAACAGTTTGGGGTTGTCACAGTTGGACAGTGGTTGTACCCTGTGTATGAAGGTCACTGTGAATATACTCTGCATGGCAGGGCAGAATATCCCACAAGGATGGCTGTGCCCAGAGTGTGATTGAGTAATTGGAGAGTTCTGACTAGGATGTTTGATTTTGCTGTTGCAGGGGAAGTTTGAGGAAGGAGCCAGAGATGGCTCGCAAGATGGCAGCAGTGGGAGAGGCTGCTTGTCCTTGAGCTGCACGCTTGTAACCGCGAAGGGGACTTGGGAGGTAAGGAAGAGGGGGCCGGAGGCTATTGGCAAGTCATTGGTGCTGCCTCAGTGAGGGCAGCTACGCAGCTCACTCAGCGCCCTGGCACCGCCTCTCGTCGCTCCATTCCCAGCACAGGCGGGAGGCGGGTCTTTGAAGACCGACCAATGGTGTGAAAGGGGCGGGGCAGACGCCGAACTGCGAGCGGAAGAGGCAAGGTTCAGGATCTGGAGCCGGTCGGGAGCTTGGGAGTTGGGAGCTCCCTACCCAAGATGCTGAGTTCCTCCCTGAGCTCCCAGAACGGCACATGGACAGAGACATTCTCTCTGTTTTTGGCTCTTGGCGTTGCCCTCTACTTGGGCTACTATTGGGCGTGTGTGCTCCAGGTGGGTGCGAGCCCAGCGCTCTGAACGGTGGGTTTGGGGTACTCGGGTGTAGGGAGCCACTTCCAACCGGAATTCGAGCCTTTTGTGAAGAGTTTAATGGTTAGGTCTCGTGCCTCAGGTGAAATTTGCTTTTATCACTTAATGGAGAGTCAGTTCTTTGCCTCCCTAGATTCTCTGCATTCTCCCATGCCAGCTGATCCGGCTGGGCACCATGTGGACAGGCATTTGGGGAAAGGCAGGGTGAAAGACATCCTGAAGTGTCAAAAGAGACGTGCATACTCCGATTTCCTTTTTAGGTGGTCTGGCAGTTTTCTCATTAGCAGCACTGAATGATGGAAACAGGCCTGTGGTTTGTAGGCAATCCCAGGACCACCTCCATCAGCTCAATAAAGGCTCCCT